GCTGCCCTTTAATAATTGCCACATGAATGAATGAATGATAGGATATCTCTACCCCCAGGAACCTTAGAGTTGAAGCCTAGGAGAGTGTTACAGTGTTTGGTGTGATGCAGTGTGGTGCTTGGTAATAGTGCTGCAGAGCCTCCCCTGACCTGCTGGAGTCACCGCCTCCTCCCCTCCAGTATCTGAGAACCACAGATCTAGGGAGGAGCCGGAAGAAGATAAGACACAGGTCAGGGTGGCCTTGTCAAAACACCATCTGACACGTGCAGACAGCAAGGACTCTCAGCACTGACCAGGGGAACGGGCACTGTGTGCTGAGGACATCACGGAGAAGCGAGCACAAAGGCAGCGGGAGTGGACAGAAAAGGAGAGAGCAGGCGGTTTAACTGCCTCACTGCCCAGCATCTGGCTTCTGATCACGACTTCCCCGTTCAGAAGAGCTACATATGTGAGGTAGTGATGGAGATAGGTTACTAGGGATCAGAAAGAAAGTGGGTAGATGGTGTCATCTCCAGGAAGTGTAGTCGCATCTTCCTCTCTTGCCTCTTCTCTTAGACTCTGCTCAGCCCAGCACAGCACCTCCTAACCTTTGGCTCTCTTTGCCACTTCCCTTTTTTAAATGGCGGCCAACAAATCATCTTCAATTGAAAAAGCTTTTAAAATGCTGTCGTCTTGTAAGGAGGCCTTCCGACTCCTCCTGAGTTCTCTGGACAGACAGTGCTGGGCTTCTGGGGAGCTGAGCCAGCTGCTGGGGTGGTTGTTGTTGGTTTAATGCCTGTAGCAGGTATTTGAGTATGAAGACTCAGTATTTCGATAAAATTAAAACACAGCGCTCCTTTCCTCATTCATCAGTATAGGACCAAAATTCTGGGAGGGTAAGGCTCTATAATCTCTTCACAGTGATTTCAGTATGCAAGTGGTTCATGATTAATTATGAGGGTGATAGCCCCCAATTTAGGAAAAGCTTGCAGTGTTAATCCATTTTTTACTGGGTGAAGGAAGAAGCTGGTCTGCCTTGAACTCACCACCCCCGCCCCCACCCCCCACAGGGACAAGAGCCATCTCTCAGCTCTTTCCTTCACAGTGCCTGGAAAGCCAGTCCAGGCCACACCTGGATGCTGCGTGGCCTGCCTGCCCACGGCGGTGGCTGATGCCTTCCCGTTGTTGGGCCTGTGGCTGGTGTGTCCTTCCTGACTCTGGACCGCTACCCCTGCTGCTTAAGACAGCAGCTGCCAGGACATGGCTAGAAGATGGTCGGTGAGTCTCCTCAGAGAGGCAGGCCCCATCTATGGAGGAGCAGGACAGCTGGCGGTCAGGTCCCAGCTGGGGAAGAGGCGGGCTCTGTCAGCTGGCAGCAGGCTGGGACTTCTGCACGTCACCCAGCGTCCCTGCACGTTCGTTCCAGTGCCTAGAAGATGATGGATAAATATCTGTTGGCCGGCTCTTGAATGAATTACAGCATTATTTATTTTATCTAAAAATTAGAAACAATCCATATGGAATTGTGTATCCACAGAGAAATTCTACACAACCATGAAAAAGTACAAGATCTATCTATAGGTACTGCCACGTAGGGAAAAGGAGTTGTGAAATAATCCCATGTAGGGAAAACATGTGTATACACACAGAGACAGATGTGCAGAAGAAAAGTCTAGAAGTATATATATCAAACTGTTAAAAGTGATTTCTGAGAGATGAATATACAGAGGGCTACCACTTTCCTTATAGAATTCTGTTGTGTTAGAATTTGTTGTAAGATGTATCATATTTGAAATCAGAAAGAGATTTTTAGAAATAGATTTCAGATACATCAGAATCACTGACAAAATTGCAAGTTAAGATTCTAAGACTAGGATTTATGGAAATACTTTAAGGTCTCTAATTTAAAAAAATAGATGAATAGAGAACTTTCTGCTAAAGTTATTTTTAAAGATAGTGCTTGCTTTTCCCCCATTGCCTTCTAGGTCTACCTGGAAGCCAAAGAGGAGGAAAAATTCTCTGTGTCATGCATTTCCTATAGTACCATTGTAAAGCACACAACCAGCCTCAACATGGTTTAGCTGTTTTAGCTAATTCTTACAGAAACATCTAATGCCTGCAAAAATTTGCTCTGTAATCACTGTTCAAGTTCTTCTCTAATATACACCTGGTACTTAAAAGGAACCATCCTCAACATCATCTTTGGCAGCCACATTAGTGCAGAATATTTTCTCTGGGATTTGAGCTGGGGTAGGTTTTTCCAGCATATCTGTACACCTCTGAGAATGAGTCAAGTGGCCATGGGTTGAGACTCACCCAACTAGGGCAATAAAGAGAAAAATTAGTCTAATGCATGGTCTTAACAAGAGGGAGAGTGTGAGCATGAATAATTAATCTCACTAGTCTATGGCAATCAGATAAAATGAAGTCCCATTTGCTCAACCTTATTAAAAGAGAGAGAGTACGTGGGAGGGAGGGAGAAATGGTAAAGGTCGTTAAGGGACTTGTAACATGGAAAGAACTGCCTTTGAGATGGGTAATGTGTTTTCTAATCTCTGTGGTCTTTAACTAAACGTCATGGTAAAGGTACTCTTCAGATAGTTCTGATTCGTTGAATTATTAAACATTTTAGAAAATACTGGACTCTGGACTAACTTAGATGTCTTTATGATGAATTTGCAGAGAGTCTTTTTGGAAAGGGATTACATCTCACTATATCACTAAGAAATAATTTATCCACTTGTCAAAAAAGAACAACTGGAAGACATAAAGACACATGAACCTACTCAGTATCAGATTTCAGTTCTTAGATTTACCATCAACATTTTACTGACTTAAAGGCCTTACCTTCCTGCTACAGAAGTTGAAGTATTTTAAAAACAAGAGAATATTGAGTGCAAATTTTTGAACACTCTAATGATAAGTAGATGCAGAATACTACTTTTATAATAGAATGTGAGGTTGCTCTTTTTATTTTCTCCCTCTAGGTGCTGATTTTATATAATTTTTAGGTTATTCCCTGAAGATAAGAGATTTGGTTATTTCTGTATACTTACTTGGAAGAATAATCTTACTCTTGATATTTTTAAATTGTTGAAATTTTCTGCGTCAGAAATTTTTCTTTTCAACTGCAATTGTTCTCTGTAGTCTTTATGGATTAAGAGGGCATTTTAAATTTTGAATTTGTCCTTTCTCCTTCTAGATGCTGTTAGCAATAGTTAATATTATAGTGTTGTTTTGACCATTAGAAACTTCCAAAGATTCACTTGTTAGAAATGTGTGTTGACAGGATTGATTATTTTCAAGGTAGAGAATATTTAATTTATTATTAACTTCTCAATACTAAAGTAAAAATCTGTATCCTGGTAAGTGATAAATGTATAGGTTGACAAGAAGAAATGTACATCATTTCCATGTGTGTGCTGAAAGGATAAATCTTTCTACAAAATATTACTATTAAAACCTTTGGCTGGGGCCAAGTGTGGTGGCTTACGCCTATAATCTCAGCATTTTGGGAGGCTGAGGTGGGAGGATCACTTGAGGTCAGAAGATCGAGACCAGTCTGGCCAACATGGTGAAACCCCATCTCTACTAAAAATACAAAAATTAGCCAGGCGTGGTGGCGGGCGCCTGTAATCCCAGCTACTCAGGAGGCTGAGGCAAAAGAATCGCTTGAACCCAGGAGGCAGAGGTTGCAGTGAGCCAAGATCGCGCCACTGCACTCCAGCCTGGGTGATAGAGTGAGACTCAGTCTCAAAAACAAAAGCAAAAAAAGACCAAAAACTTTTGGCTGGGTGCAGTGGCTGATGCCTATAATCCCAGCACTTTGGGAGGCCAAGGCAGGAGGATCGCTTGAGCTCAAAAGTTTGAGACCAGGCTGGGCAACATAGTGAGACCCCTTCTCTACTTAAAAAATTTTAAAAAAAGAAAGAAAGAAAGAAAGATATCAGCAGGCCGTGGTGGCACACACCCATAGCTCCAGCTACTCGGGAGGCTGAGTGGGAGAATTGCCTGAGCTCAGGAATTTGAGGCTACAGTGAGCTATGATGTTGCCACTGCACTCCAGCCTGGATGACAGAGCAAGACCCTGTCCCCCCATCCCCTCAAAAAAACCAAAAGCTTTTGAGTTCATTAATTTAGAAATATCAACATGATCACTAGGATAGAAAGTACGCTCAGAACTTGGTGTGTTTGCGTGTGTGTTAATGAGGAGCCTTCTGAATGTGAATCTGGGGCAAGGACTGTGTCCTCAGCACCTACAACAGTGACTGACACATAGCAAGCACTTAATGTTCTTTGAATTAAGTTGAATTGAATTAATACTTTTAAAGCAAAAAACAAATTTCCCCCCGCTAGAGAGAAGACACGAGGTGTTCTAATATAACAATGCATCGTCTGGAAATCAGGGGTACCTTCTTATTACTTTCATACCCTATGGAACAGAGCATCCTAAAACTAGCAAGCAGAGAGTGAAGAGAGAAGTGTTTGGAAGTGAGTTTGTGTTTTGGTTTGTAGTTCAGTCCGAAGGAAGCATCCAGTGGCTAACTATACAAGCTTCATCTTCCTGGTCCTTGTACTATTCCTTCTTTTCCCGCCTGTGTTGTAAATTCAGATGAGAACTCATGCTGGCTCATCTGCAAGCTTCCTGATGCCTTGCGAGCTTTCCCATTCATTCCAAATCAGAAGCAGTCGGTGGCCCCATCGTTTCCAGACAGCTTTCTCTTTGTTAAGAAATTAGAATACCTGATTTCCCCGCGTTTTCCTTGTGGCCTGAGTGTGCACCTTGGCCTGAGAAATTCACGGGATTTCCTTCTCTCTTCCTTTGCATTTCTTTTTGGCACTCTAATAGCCATGTCCCTATACTATCAGTAACCTGAAAAAGATCAGGAAATTAAGTGGCAGAACGTCTTCACGGGAGCTGAGTGGTAAGGATCATGCCTTCCACGATGCTGAAACGAAAGTGTTTGATGTTGGCCTGGTGTATGGAATTGTGGGCCCACACATTTCTCTTCCTCTCTCAGATCCTGGTATATAGCCTGGAAGCAGGACGCCGCCTCTTGAAGCTGGGTAACGTTCTCCGTGACTTCACATGCGTCAACCTCAGCGACAGCCCTCCCAACCTCATGGTCAGTGGCAACATGGACGGGAGGTACGTGAATTGGAAGGGCATTGCCTTGCAGCCCCACGGCTTCGGCCAAGGCCTGGCCACCCGGCCCCCACTGCACTGCTCACACTGCCCGGTTCTCATTCAACAGCTCTGCCCACCTGAGTTCAGCCCCGATCCCATAAACACTCTAGACTTGGAGAACAAAGTCCTGTATTAGGTGATAGTTGGATGTCGCTATGTCTCTGCTTCATTTCTGAAGCACCATGGGAAGGTTTTCTTTTAAGCCGTTTGGTGGACGCAGTTGGTAGAAGGTCCAGGGAGACCCCTTGGAATATCCTTTGTCCCCCTGCTGCAGAATTTGTTTGGCACTTAAAAGCTCACTTTCTAATATTAAAAACAATAACCTAAGGGATGAATCATGTTCAACAAAATAGGGTTTCCTGCCAAATGATGTCAAGAGTGTATTTCAGAACCTGGTGGTGTCCCTCTGGCGATGGAGGGAAAGGGAGACTTCATGTGAACAGATTCCAGTTTCTATTTAGCTGATTAGCAGCCTTCTCTTTAACGCATTGGCTTAGGGAGTCAGCTTTTCCCGGTACAGGGGCCTGTGCCAGCCGCGGGCACCCCAGGAACCATCAGCAAGAAAGGATTAAAGTGTTTGAAAAGACCCTCTGAGTCCAAATTTTAGGTTTCTCCCCGCTTCCTCTCTCCTTGTTTTTTCTTTTCCTTTTCTTTCCTTTTTTTTTTTTTTTTTTGGCCGGTTATCTGCTGTGTCTGATCCAGTGCCCGAAGAGAGGTAGCATGGCTGAGGGCCAGGGGCGGCTGGTGCCCCCTCCCCTGGGCCCGGCCCCGGGCTGCAGGTGGCGGGCTGCTCGGAGGCGGGTGTCAGATCGTGAGGCGGGTACTCCTCTGTGCCAGATCCCAGGCCTCTGTCCCGCCAGTGCAGCAGCTTGCAAAAATAGTTATTCTGTCAAACAATATTTTCAACTCCCGACCTTCAACCCTAGATACCCGCCCCCAACTTAGAGCAAGGAGATGATGTGAGTATGCTTTACTGGGGAGAAAAATAATCATTTTTCTTCAAGGCCTCCGAAAATGCCCGATGTTCTGGTGCTTGAGAACTGAACTCCTCAGTGTTTCTGGGCATGCACTGGGCTAGCTCTCTTTAGAAACTAGGCTTGATAAGTGGCCCCACATGTGGCATGACAAAAGAATCAAGTCAGTTTGTAGTTCTAATCCCGCATTTTAGTTTCCAGGTTGAGCTATGCAGAGGCTCCAAGCTCCCCTCCCAGGATCTCCACACAGGGGCCTGGCAGCTGCTTGTTTTTGAGGAGAGGCGATGTGGAGGGGTCTTTGGGATGGTGGAGGATGCTCAGAGTGTGTTTGCAGTGTGAACATTTGTATCTTCAGCCACAGCTTAGGCTCACCGGAAACCAGAAGGGTGTTGCAGAGAAGAAACCTCTGCTTTCTGCATAATTTCAAAAATATTAAGAAAAAAATTCTACAAAGTTCCAAAAAGCAAAACTTGAATTTGCAGCAAGCCAGGTACTATGTTGAATCATAATGAAGCTATGTGTAGGCATCGTATTAGGTATTATTAGTAATCTAGAGATGGTTTTTATGGGAGGGTATGTGTAGGTTATATGCAAATACCACACCACTTTATACGTAAAGGGGGACTCGAGCATCTGTGGATTTTGGAATTGCAGGGGGTCTTGGAACCAGTCCCCTGTGGATACTGAGGGATGACTGTACACACTCAGGAGAGCTGACTTTTCCTCTGGAGCAGGCTGCTTGTTACGTACACACTGCCAGAGAGGCGTTCCGTGCATAGTGTCGGAGGGCTCTCTGGTCAGTTTGCAGTCCAAATTTGACTGTGTTAAGTCCATTTTATTAGTAAGCCAATGTTACATTTTTTAAAAAACGCTCTGTCTCTGTGGATGAAAAGAACAGACTAGTGACTTAGAGTTGGAGGTGGGGCATCCAAATTGGCATTTAACCAGTGTGAGTCCTAGAGCAGTGCCAGCTGTGTGCCCACTGCTGGTACATGAGGGGCAGCCGTCATATGTAAGAAGACTCCCTGAGTCAGGGCTGCTGGGTCAGCAGCTTAGAATCGAGGGGTTTAAAATCTGTTGTTTTAATAAAAATTGCACATCTAGGAAAAAGGAATGAGGAAGCTAGACTTAAGTGTGGTAGAGGGAAATCTTGCTTTTTTCCCCCAGAGGCTTAATAGCTATGAATAAGATCTTATTAGAGATGCCGGCCCAGGCTTGTATAGCTTATGTTTTACGTTAAAAGTGGGAGTAAGGGGTCAAATATTATGAAGAGAACTATGTCCTTGGCTGTCACTTACTGACTGATGCAATTTTTTACAAACCCTAGAACCTTCCTATTTTATTTTAAAAACTTAATTCCCACTGCATTCTCTTAGTGCTTTATAAATAACTTGGGAATGAGATGAACTCTAAAGGTACATAAAACTGCCCCAGATTAAGACAAAAATATGTTTTCATTAAAGTAAGGAATCAGTTTTAAGTCGTTTGCAAACATGGGTGGGATTTTGCAAGGAGTTTTATTTTGGGGGTGTGGGGGGACAGTGGACTTAAATTAAAAATGAAAAAGTATCTGTCCTATCACTCAAGAAAACCCAGACACTTGAGGTCAGGAGTTCAAGGCCAGCCTGGCCAGATGGTGAAACCCCTATTTATCTACTAAAATACAAAAATTAGCCACACATCGTGGCTCATGCCTGTAGTCTCAGCTACTCGGGAGGCTGAGGCAGGAGAATCGCTTGAACCCAGGAGGCAGAGGTTGTAGTGAGCCAAGATCACAACACTGCACTCCAGCCTGGGTGACAGAGCGAGACTCCATCTCAAAAGATAAAGAAAAACTAAAAAATAAACAGAGTCTGATGAAGAGCAAGAGAAAGATTGGGGTGGAAACTGAGTTAATGTTAGAGTATGCTTTTCCCTTGCTGGGAGGGAAGGCTTGTAAAGATGGGAGCGGAGAGAAAAGTGAGATTGTGCGTAAGAGTTTTATCAGTGTAGATCAGTGAGTTTTTCTGAATGCATATTTTGTCTCTTCTTGCTAAGACTAAAAAGAAAGAGCAATGAGTAATGGTACGGGGGGAGTGATGCACATTGGCGTTAGGACTGGCTGCTCGTGTCCATTCCACTTACCACACACTCTCTGGTGTTTGGCGGGTGCTAGCACAGTATATTTTCTATTTATTCTAAGATACATGTTTAAAAAAAAAACATTTTCACATCTATGAAATCAGAATGGACTTTTACAATAGCATCATAAAATGGCAGCATTTTTAAAAGTTACACAAAGTAATGATGTTTCTTGGAATCAGTGGCGTTTTCAATGAAATGAAAGTATATATTCACTGAAGGCAACAATGAATTAATAGCTTAGGAATTCACATTTATGAGAAACTTGAATGAGTCACTAAGGAAAAGTCTGCAGGAAGTAATCACTTTTTTTTTTTTTTTTTTTTTTTTTAGTTTAAACCCTGTCTGGGGTTTATTAAACATTTAGAATCTGAATATGTATGTCTTTCACTAAATTTGGAGTTTCCTGCCATTACTTTCTCAAATAGTTTTTCTGAATAATCCCTTTCTCCTCGCCTTCTGATAACCTCAATAATGTAAATATTAAACCTTGTGAAATTTTCCAACAGGACACCAAAGCTGTGTTCATGTTCTTTCCCAAATCTTTCTTTCTGTTCTTCAGATTGCATCATCTCTGTTGCTCTAACTTCAGGTTTATGGACTCTTTCCTGTGTCATCTCCATTCTGCTGTTGAGCCTATCCAGTGAATTTTTTATTTCAGATTTCATCTTTTCTTGGTTAAAAATTTCCGTTCATTTCTTTTTATACATATAGTTTCTGTGTCTCTGCTGAGGTGGTCACTGTCAGTGTTCCCATGCGCTTTACCTTTACTTTGTGGAATATAGCTACAAGTTCTTTAAAGTCGTTGAGGGTTCCCAGACTGGCTTATCTTAGGGTTTACATCTGTTAATTGTCTTTTCCCTTAAGAAAGGGTCACATTTTCCTGTTTGGCTTTTGGTTTGGGCTATGTCAAGTAATTCTGTATTCTGGACATTGTGGATGTCGTGTTGTATACACTCTGGATCCTGTTATGTAATCCTCCAACGAATGATTTTTGCTTTGTTTTGCTTTTAAACAGGCAGTCACCCTGCTTAGGTTCAGACGGCAAGTTCTGTTTTACCCTCTGTGGGTGGTGACTCCAGTGTCAGTTCGCTTTCCAAAGCTGTTCAGTTTCTATGCTGTTTTTGGTCTGCGCATGTGCCACTTGGGTTAGTCTGAGGCTTGGCAGTGGTTCACTCTTAGTTGAGCTCTTAAAGCCGTTGCCGTCCTGCTTTGAATCTGTCCCACATAGCCCAGGGATGAGCCTGGGACTTATGTGGGTTGAGACACAGTATTATGTGATCCCTTTCTTGAGGTTTCTCCTCTCTTAATCCTTACACTTTCCAGCCTTCAGGGATTCCTTTCTCTTATAGTTCTTTGGTCAGAAAGATAGGGTTTCTGTCAGAGTTCTACCTGCCTGAATCGCCGCCACCATGCAGCATGTGACTGGGGACTGTCCTTGTGGCACAGCCACAAGAAAGAGGAAATAACCCCACAATAACCCTCACCCCTATTCTTTGGGGACTGCAGGGGCCCCTTTTGTTCCTCTGGTCAGAAAGATGGAGTTTCTATTGGAGTTTTAGCTTCCTGCACCACCACACAGTTCTGCATGTTGGAGTCCATACTCAGGGCAAGGCTGCAGGAGGAAAAAGGGAAAAAAATGGGAAACTCCTCCCCTATACAGCCACTTCCATGGGTTTGAGTCTCCTCTGCAATCCATCGGCTTGCGTTGACTCCCCAGAGTCCTCAGGTGTTTGTTTTTGTGTTTTATCCATAGGTTTTGCTGGCAGTTGACAGGAGAGAGGCAGCAGTGGGCTTACTCCATCCTGGCCAGAATCGGAACGTCCTGCTTTCTTTTTCAGTGACTGAAGTCAGCACTGTAGTTGG